AGTCTACCCCTGTACCTAAGCCTTAACATTGCCCCCTTCATTCTGATAGTTACGCCTTGGCTTTGTCTTAAGCTTATACTGCTAAAATGCGATAGGCAGCAGAAGCAGTATATTGCAGGTCTTGTCTGCAATGCATTGAATTTCGAATGAATTTCAGTAAAAGATTACTACTGTGGACGGTAAAACGCCTAGCTGACCTGCTTCTACTTTCAGTTTTGACAATAGGGCCGCAAAAGCGAATGGAGAATTTATATTACTTAACGGAAAATTTGTCGTGACTTCTCAAAAACAGTGCATTGAAATAGGGCATTCGTTTGACGTCATCCCATTTATGACTGTTTTAATTGTTGGCGAATGAAAAAAAATGCTCGTGCTGCCTACCAGAATGACATCTTAATGTTTTTTGGCTAAACCTTGTTTGGTAGTAGCTGAAAAATAGAACTTGCACTAGAGTTTCTATGAGTTGAATTAGACAGTGCTTTTACTCTCTTTTTGAATAGTTGTCATTCAACCCTGAATCTATTCCTTTTATGAATTAATAAGAGGTTATTCTACTGAGCCATTTCATCAAGTTAGAAGTTGAAGTATTTGTTCGATTAAAGTTTCATTTAAATAGACGAGAAGACCTGTATATCAGTGCTAGATAAAACTTGTATTTCTTGTGCCTTTGTGGAAGTAGCTGTATTCTGTGGAATAGTTCATGAAACTCGTACCAGTTTCGTCGAAATTATAAATGTTTACTTCGTTGCATCGAAATGACGATATTAACGGGGCAAAATTTCTGTGTCATGAAACGGGCGGTTTTATCGCTGATATTCGTTAAATAATAGCCCTGATAAAATTGGCGGTGGATTTGCTTTCCCCGTCTGAAATGTTATTTCAGGTTTCATGGTCGTCAGTTTCTATATTCGTTGCTACTTTTCCAGAAATTACTAGCGACGTTAGATTTGTAGAGAACACGAAGGGCTCCAAATATTAGGTATTTTTGTCCGATTTTTATTGCTGCTCAGTTTGGATGTCAATACTCCCATATGATTCAGTTTAAACTGCTAATATATAGTACCGTTCTAGGTGACCAAACAGACGCGCATAAAATTGTGGATAAAATTTTAAATTATATCGCAATAGTAAACTCTTGCAGTTTGCACCAATACAATTACTGTGTATATTCAGATGTTGACGTTGACATACTGCAGTAACTTTCAAAAAAAGTGGCTAAAAGAGACTTTTTGAATCCGGTACAGTAAAGATTCCATTTTACGCTGAAATTCGCGATGTTCTGCCTCAAGTAAAATTGTCATTCATCCAGGAGTGCCTTATTTTAAAGGCACTGTCTAAACCATGTGCCAAGTGTAGTGCGCAGTTTCCTGTTTCTTTCACACGGAGTGATACTCATTTATCAAGCACGGTAAGAAGGGTGAGTGACCCCCAGAAGTCCTGAACTCGAGGCCTGTCGGTTCTGAATTCCACTTTCTATCATCTGAGCAACCACGGTGTAAGGCAGTCTGTGGTAAATTCCTTGTTCCAGGAAATTCATGAATAAAACAAGGATGCCCTCGGACGAAATCGAACCCGGCACCTAAGGAGTTCGAAACAGATCTCTAAGACAGTGTGGCAACACGCTACTTCATTTGATGAAGCTTGCGCTACTGTGCTGATTTTCGTTTCTAAGTCATCAGACTGGAGTGCCTTTATTTATTTCAAATGCTCGATCTACAGCTGCTTGAAGCATAAGATGTAGTTTGCTGTTTCATTCCCACCGTGATAATCATCAGCGTGGGAGGAAAGAAAGGTGAGTGACCTGACCGGGGCTCACATCCTGAACCACTTGATTTCAAGTTTGACTCTCTACCGACTGAGCAACCCTCGTTGATCATGCTCCAAGGCTAACTTAGTTTCGGACTTGCTTGATCTTCTGATGAAATTGTCTTCCCGGTAATTTGTGACGTGCCAGATGAAAAAGGCTGTTCCTAATCAGAAATTTCATGAATATTTGCATCTAGCACAAAGTTCAAGGATGTAAGCGTTTTGATTCGCAAGCGTTCATTTGCTTCATCATGATATGCTTCATTTTAAGGGAGTTTAAAAAATATTTCATTATATATATGCCTACCATTCAAGATATATCGGTTAGTGTACCAGTGCAGCATAGTTGTGCTGTTCTTTACCGATACGCTGCAGAGCTATAAAATTGTTGAATCGTGGGAGTGAACGGTGCGATTACGCCGTGTAAATCAGAAGAATTGAGGTGAGATTGAAACTTTAATTTTTCGCATATATGCGGGTGCCACTCTGTGCCATCGATATTGTTTGTAAATTCTTATTTGTTATAGGAATAAGATGTCGCGTTTGCTGAGAACGGCATTTTGCCAAGTGCGGAAACTCGCAACGACCAAGACTTCAGAGGTGGCCACCGAACAAAAAAAGATCTACATTGATTTGCCGGTGATTTATTCTTTTTCTGCAAGCGTTGAGTGTTGCTGATGATCTTAATCTTTTGGTTTTCTTCTTTCAGATTTTTTTCGTCGACACGCGAAATCGATGGCTAACTTTGTTGAAATTTGGTCTTTTTGTTTCGATACCTTTTAGTATACCGTTTTATATGTTGCGACGTACTCTGCTGAAGAAATGATTTTAACCGTTGTTACGGCGAGGTCAGGGTTAGTAATTTATGTATGAATAAGTAGCACAATGTTTATGGTTTGTTTACACTTTACTAGCAAATGTAATCAATAGTAAACGATTGACCATGCATCATACAATTGAACAGCCGATGTTGTTGACATTAGGGGCAGCGTTGGGTACTGCAGTATCTTTTTTTTCATTCATTCCTTGTAGCACGCTACAACTCGCTTATTCTGGTCACATTGCACCCGAACCGATCGACCATGCTTCGGATAGTGTTATTAGTAGCTTTGCGAAGACGTTCGACTGACGACAGGTAGATGCTTGAACTTGAACATGCAGCGCCTCCAGGCACTGTTCCTGTATGTTTTCGACTTGAAGTGGATCGCGAAGGCCAGCGACGTCTAAGGTGTATGATTAACTGAAGAGCATGCCAAAATAACAATAGTCAAAATAAATTCTAAGCCATATTGGTTCAATTCTAAGACAATAATAATAATTAAAAAGTTACCGGTTAGATGCTTGAAAAAATGTATTTATTAAATGAAGCTCTGGGAACCCGCAGAGATGACCCTCCCGCACAAATTAATGATTTAATAATTGGTTTGGATTCAAGTTAGAACGCCTTTGTACAAACTCTCATCTGTGATTTCTCTCTGGAGAAATTGCGGCTGCGGACCAAGTCTCCCTCGGATATCTTGGCTCCGAACCATCTGGAGATGCGGGATACCAGTGATCATACCAGAAAAACTATTACTTTCAGCTGCTTATGCTCGGATCGAAGTTTTTCAGCCATGGCCAATGATTCATGAGCATAGATGAATATGTGGGGTGATAATCGGCTTGAACAGAAAGCTGTATCTTCATATTTAGCTTTAATTTACTTGCACTGGTTCAGGGTAGTTCACGTAGAGCACACTGGCGATTCGAGTCCTCGATATATCTCTTCATCTCATTTTCCATCACCAGTAAGCACGACCCCGAGGTCCCTGAATTTCTCCACTGCTTATTCGTTCATCTGAAGAAAGCAACGGGCGGTAGAGCAGGAAAGCACTTAGGCTTTTCGTTTTAAATGCTTTCAAACACATCCCGGGCACGTTGCACTCGGCAGTGAACCTTTCCAGAGATCGCTGTAGATCAGTTTCAGAAGATGCCAAAGAAACAGGGTCGCCTGCAAGCAGCAAGTTTCTCGTCTCGACATCTCTTACACTAATACACTTACCACCCTTTTGCCACTGACTATTCCGCCGATGTACAACACAAATAGGAAAGAGGACAGAATTCAGACTTGGCGTAGACTAGCGTTATCGTTGGAAGTTTTAGACTCAACATCAATTACTCTTACGCATGATGTCAGTGTTAATTATGCAATAAAGACAGTATTTCAGCTGACAAATAATCAGTCTTCACCAAGGTAACATAGATTTGTCATTGGCAGTCCGACCTATTGAAATCTGACCTCGTCAGTCGAAATATTGTTGCAGGTGCCCGTCTAAAATTAACGTCTTAAGCAATGGTCGAAAGTTACAGTTTATGCATACGTCCATGAATTTGTTAAGAACAACTTTCAAACATCTGTACTTTCTCTCATTAAGCATATTGCGCAAAGGATGGCCACTTGTTCTGTGTTAACTTGCAATATTTTCATGGTACTGACAAGCTTCTTGAAATAGGCCGCGATTTTGGGCTTCTGTTGTTTGTCTGCATCACAAAACCGACGACCACCGTTGGCAGCATGAAAAGCTTTGACGATGACCTAGAACATTCATTCAAGTACATGATACTTTACAAGGGTTGAAATCGGTACTCCAATGCGAGTTGTAGCGAGTTCACAAAGTAGGTTCTTGTCCAATTGACTGAGGTCATTGAATCCCGGTATGCGATTAGCAAAGGTTAGCGTTCTGTCGTTGAACGTTCTTTCATCATTCTATAAATTTGGCGTATTGTAAAAGTCACAAGACGGCCCTGTTTGTTACCTCAAAATCTGCGGTGGTTATGAAGTTCTCCCGGAAGCCACTAGCGATGCATCGAACGATGTGCTGCAAATGAGCCATGTTCGCTGCGCCTTCTTCTTCCAGCGTTTTTGGCTTCGATTTCTTGTTTTTGTGCATTCGCACTGCTGTAATGCAAAAGCTCAGTTGCCGTCATTAAACGAATAGAGTATATAACCTACATTCTTTGGTCATTCCCATGTCCAGACATTTTTGAAAGCGACAGGCTTGACATCTGTTACGCGTCAGTTTCGTGACAGGACAGTTAGCATGTTGCTTATGACACCAGTACTGTATGTCACGCTGAACGGTTCTCCGAAAGAAGCCCTAAACCTCAAATGGTAAAGCTAAACTGATAAGCGAGATTGTAACATTGAAAAATCTGTTCAGCACTACGTGGCATAATCAGTTATACATGATAGTACACATTGTTTAATCTTAATCTCAATCATGTCATTCAATTGTAACATAGATAAATTTTGTTGCAGAAGACGGAAGTCATTGTCAATAACGGATGAGCATTGCGCAGGTGACATTGTGATGACTCCCTCTCCTACAAGTGTTCTTCTCGCCATTCGCACAGTCTCCAGTGATACATGGAATTAGTAGAATTTTATATCGGTCGTTTCAGCGCTTATTGTAAGGCTGCTGGTAAAAAATGTATTCACCGCGCTACAAACTGGCATTTCTATTATTTACAGCGGTCTTTGCAACCAGATAATAAAACCCCCTCCCGTTTTAATGTAAAGTCACATGTGATTTAGTTGGTCACGCTCGAAACTAATTCTTAATGAAAACAAATCTTTCACATTAAAAATAATCATACCAGATTGAATCGGCGAATATGGGCAGTGTAAAGAATGAAAAAACTATTTCTCACTTTACATCAGCAACGCTATTGCACCTCACTTTTCTTCTAGACGCATAGGGGAACATTTAAGCAGACCTCGGCTCCATTTACTGAAGCTCCTGCGGTGCGTAGGACGCAGGACCGCGTCTAAAATTAGATATCATTATTTTTAATGTAATGCTTTCAGCAAAATCCGGCCTCTTCTGTTCTTCTGCAATGCCAAAACATATATATATATATACGTTTTGGCATTGCAGAAGAACAGAAGAGGCCGGATTTTGCAGCCGCGATATGTACGCAAAACATTAGGTCATACTCTATATATATATATATATATATCGCGCCATCCGCTACGAGTATAATGGATGGTCCCCATAAA